CACGCGATCAGCACATTTGCAGATAAATCGAAGCTCACTTTCGCTTCGTGTCCCTTGGCAAAAAACATTTTTCCTTGTCAAACCCGCAGCCTGTTACCCACCCGCACCACCAGCTGCCGCTTTTAACGAAATTAGATTTCCAACAAACAAGTTTGAAGGTCTCTCTTCATCCTCGGCCGCGAAAGAAGTTTCTTTTCTTCTTTATAAGATGGTTAAAGTGGATTTCGACTGCGCTCATAATTTTTTTATAATCGTCAGTTTCAGATAGGCGACGCATCAAATTTCATGAAAAGTTTTTAAAATATTCGTAATTTAATAGTCTGTGGTGGTTTTTCAATGGCAGAGACGTTCCTCGAGAATCCTTCTCATATTCAGACCCACCCTCTAAAATTTTCAATATTGATGTAAAAAGAATTGTCAAATCTTTTGGCTATTTCAGATTTTGTTCAGATTGCATAATATGCTGAATTTTTTGTTTTTTACCTTTTGCAAGGGTCAATGACCTTTGACCTAAAACTTGGTGACCATTAAGAAAAGATACCTTAATTTGACAGCAGTTTTTATAAATCCTTGTTTGGTCGCCATATTCAATAATTTTGAAAATTTTTCACTTTTTGCGTAATTTAAGAATCAAAATATGAGTTAACGAGATTGATTATTTCAGAAAGAAGAAGAATTAAAATGAAAATGATCCATTTTAACAGTTCTAAATAATGATTTTGCGATCGTGAGCTGTTGAAATCCTCTTTAGTGCATTAGACTCGCGGCGGCCATCGATACGGAACTTGCTTTGCTTTGAATCTGGCGGATAAGAGCGCACGCCGGATGCCACCTTTTTTGCCGCCGCCGCCGCTTTCTTTTACAACCGCCTTGTTATGTTCCCAAGAAAGGTTCTGACAGATATTTCGGGCGCCGCCTCAAGTGGCCGCTCAATTTTATTGGCGAACCTAAATTGCCTTTTTACCACTCATTGCCAACCGCGCACTTGATATCTTTTCAATTCCGCACAGGGCATTGTTCTGCCCATAGTGTTTTGTTTGGCCCTGGTGCGAAGGAAAATTTATTCCAGCTCCCAAATTGATTGAATGCAGCGTCTATTTTAAACCGGCTTTTTACTATAAGGTGTAAAAACCGTCTGGCTTTTCTTCAAATTCAGACAAATAAATTGGATTTTTGTTGTTGTTTTTTTTTTAATAATGAAATAGTTAAAAAATAATAATCCTCTCCTGGTATTTAGAATAAAAACAAGAACAATTTGCAGAGAGCACAATTGGTTTTAATCTTTTAACGAGGAAATTATGTCATCCGCACCGAAATTAAAACTTCTCAATAAGATCAATGTAAAATTTTTATGTCGACTAACCTAATGAACTTTGAATCTGAATTTGGGTGTTGTGAACGTTATTTGGTGAGATATTTTTGTCAATTTTGGTCGGGCTAGTTCTGAATTGAAAATTATTCAATAAAATTTACGTAAGATTCAATGTTTAATTCAAAAATTCAGTTTCCCAACGAGTTAAATTTTTTTGAGCTTACATCTACAAACAAATGCCAATGTAGAGAAAAATTATCATTAAAATTAATTAATGTGGCCCCTGCTTAAAAGATGTTTCAATGGTTATGCAACCCGCTGAGCAGACGTGTCCGGCACGTTGCCGAGAAGTGATTTTCCTAATAAGTGAGCATCTGGCAATCGGTCATTTTCACAATGATCACCGCCAGCCGGGGGACGACGCAAAAACTTTGGTGATTACGGCTGTGGAAAAAAATCTTTCTTATCGGGCGACAGCTTTTATTAACACGTGTGTGGGTTGGGTTGCCAGAAAGCGTGTATTATCGATTGGAAATGCACTTCTCGGAGCTGCCATCTGCGGCGGCGACAAAGGAGATCACGCTGCAATGAACATGGAGCCGTTGGCGACTGCGATACCGAGATAAAGAGGATGCACTCAGCGAGATTGAGTCGCCAGCGGTGGCGATACGATTGCCAGTGAACTGCCCACCTAATCGGCTCCCGCTGCTTTCACGCTCGCTTCACTTTTGCCCAATTCAATCACATCTGTCTGAGGCCGATTCTGCTCACTCACACGTGATTCGATAATTCTTATCATGATGACAAAATTGAACAAGAAATACCGATTTTAAATGCTCTTTATTCCGGAAGAGTGCAAAATTTTGAGTAATTCTTGTGTTAAAACGCTGTGAAATTCCAAACCATTGCTTCAAAATTGCAAGTAAACATAAATTGGCTTTTTCATTCACACAAAAACCTTCAGCTTTTGGTCACTGGTGGCGCTGCGTTCGCTGATTTTGTCAGCGCTGTGCGATCTCAGCGCCACCAGTGACCAAAAGATGAAGTTTTTGTGTGAAAAAGCCGATTTATGTTTTCTTACAATTGTGAAGCAACGGTTTGGAATTTTCACTGCGTATTTTCACAAGACACTCAAAATTTTCCAATCTTGAAACATAGACAATAATAAAAATCGCCGGAGTTGATCTTTAACTATTAATAACAAATTGAGATTTGGCACGAAGTTAAAAATCTGAATCCAAGTATGTGAGTTTCAAAACTAAAAGAAAAAAATGTATTACTTCATTTAAACACAGCAGCATGATTGTGCGCTTTTCAATCAGACCTTTCTACATATTGATTGGAGCAAGTGCAGGAAGCACATTCAATTTAAATGTCGGCCTCATTTATTTCTTTAATTAATCTGCACGCTGATTGCGCTTCAAAGGACTGCCTTGATTGCAGCTCGGGTGACAAGTTTCTCTTCAGTTTATTCTGCTTGTCTCTTTCTCATTTATAATTAATACCCAGCCGCGGCAGGTAATAAATCTCGGGCTGCAGCGGGCGGCGGAGGAGTTGAAATCTGTAATCGGGGAATTGCAGTGCGGCTAGATTTATAGCTGGCAATGATACACTCGCTTGCTCGCTCACGTCGTGTGAATCAATACAAAGCAAGGGGAGACACACACACACACACTCCGGCTGCAGGAAGCTTATGTACCGTTATGGTGCCAATTCATCTTGAAAGAAAGCAACAGAAATCCAATCGAGTGCAGCAAGAAGGCGAAAAGCAGAAATATATGAAATATACAGAAAGAAGGGGATGATTAATTTTTCAGCCCCAATGTTTTCACCCACTTTCCTCTTCTTGTTATTCATTCAGCGGCTTAAAGGAATGCTTTTAATATTCGCAAGACTTTCGTGCGAAAAACCAAAAGCGCCCCTTTTTAATCTAAAAAGCGGCAAAATAAATATTTACCCGGCCGTTCCGCTACTTTACGGCAAAGATAACTTCCTTTGGCTTCTCCCCCTTCTGATTATTTTCCTTCAACTTGCGTTGAATTAGTTCCACAAATACTTAATTTCCCCGCGCCAAATAATCTTTTGTGGCGAAAAAGAAATATTTCCGCTGATTCGATTTGCTCTTCTTTTTCTCTTTGCTCTGATTTAAAAGAGATTGTGACCCGCAGAGGGAGCGAGGGCATCATTATGTGGCCACTTTGGCCGGCCGGTGCCAAATTGAAACCTAATATTGGCACCCCATGGCTACAGTCTCAATAATACCAGCTCTTTTCCTGTATGAAACGGGCTCGACATCGATCCCGCTGTTGAGATACACCAGGCAATGTATGCGCATAAAATTCTGGAGATTGTAAAGAGAGAAAGTGGCAAGAGTTGCCGGAAAATGATGGGTTACGTAATCGACCGTATAACCAAAAATCCACCCATAAACGGGCAGTATATTTTTTATATAAATACTAAATTATTCCCATTCGAATAGTTTCAACGCATTTTTTTTGCAATAATTAACAAGTAATTTTTACAAAAGAATCGCGGAATAGAAATCTGAAGAAGCCGGAGTGAATTTCACAGCATGTTGTCTGCAGTTTCCTCGTATAAGGAACTGCTAATTTGCTCTTTTATTTATTTTGTCTGGCGCAATATAAAGGAGAATTTGGCCAGAAGAGCGTCTGCTCGCTCAAAGGTATGCTGCGAGGTAATAAAGCTCTCGAGTAATACAGCCTTCTTAATATTGAGCTGAATCCTAGTAAAGGGGCCTCCCTCCCGTTAAGCCATCTTGGCTGGCGAGCTGCAATGAAGCTGATTTTCGGGTGAACAGCGCGCGGCGAAAAAAGGAAGAGAAGCTGGAACGAAATTGAATTTCTTGTTAAAAAGAACCTGCTGCCACCGAACTAGAGTTTCTTAATACCCGTAGGCTTCTGTCAAGATCAAGGAAGGCAAGACGGATTTTTATGTGCAAAGGAATGCAGTATTAAAAAAAACTTTGCATTTTTTTTCGCATATCACGTAAAGACCGACGCAGGTGATTATTATTACTCTTTGTTCTAAAAGATCGCTAAAATTTGAGTTTATCTGGTGAAAAAAAAACTCTCAAAATTGTAAGAAAACATAAATCAGCTTTTTAACACAAAAAATTCAGCTACATATCTTATTTGTTTGATGAAGTTTGTAACTGACGAGAGTTTTGTGAATTTATAAAACCGGGCTTTCCTCTCTAATTGATGCAATTTTTTGCTGGTTCAAAAGCTGTTTAAAGCAATTCTATTTACGAGGAAAATTCCATTTTTACAAACAAAAAAAATTCAATTCTGAATTCAGCTTCAAATTCATTATACTTTGTTAATGAGGAAAAATAGCTTCGACTCACTGTTTTCCATGATGTAAGCAGGAAAAGGTGCGAATTAACAGTGGCGTGTGCACAAGTGCGTTGCACTAACAAGCGCTGAGACAGCGAAAGTGAAGTTCTTTCTCTCTTCCATTTGTTTCCCGTGAGCAATCTTAATTAGGGCGGGCGAGAAAGAAAGAAAGAAAGAACGAACGAAGGAATGCTGCAATCAAGAGTTTGACCCGGTGGTGGTGGTGGCGGTGGTTGGCGTGCAGCTACGGAGCGCGCCGAGGGGGTGCGATCGGCGGCGCAGCCCGGCGCCTCCGAACCTGGCGTTAGTCGCTCTCCGTCTGCGCGTCAGCTCGTCCGCTCCCTTTTTGCTGCTGCTCGTAGCACTCAAGCCTGGCTTGCAAGTGGATGGATCGCAGTGCTCGGTGGTGTCCGCGGTCATGGTGCGACTAATATGAAGACACTCAACCCTCCAACAATGGGCAAGAACAAGTGGGCCGGTGTGGTTTTGTTGTCGCTGCTCGTCTCGCACGTGATCTGCCAAGGTGAGCTTTTTTTTCAAATTTGTTGCTTGTCCCTGCCGCGGAATAATTTGGCGCCCAGTTTTATTTATATATGTGAGCGCAGTGGGTGGCAATTAAAAGCGCGCGGTGAGTTCGTGAATGATGATGGCGCCGCCGAATGCTTTTAATTAAAACCAATTTGCTGTGTCAACCGAATGAAATGTGCACTCGCCACTAAATCTCCGCCCTAATCGTTTTTGCTCGAAATTGAGTTTCGATTGTTCAAAACATTTCCTCTTTTTATATTTTTTTATTGCTAAATTCAATCCCTGCTGGTTGCGAATATCTCTTTCTGTTGTTTAGATTTTTATTTGTTGAATTTTTATATTCTAATCCGAGCTAATGAGCAGGTTTTCATTGAAAATCTGAATAATTTAATCAAATATTAGTTTTATTCCGAGTAGAATAAAACATTTTGATGAAAATTTTGAATTCACCAGGAGGATTTTTTACAATTTTAGTTAATTCCTTTGTTTGTCTGCGGGCAAAATTTTTGGAACTTATTCATTATGGAGTCTATTTATATTTTTGTCTGCACACAAGCTATTATCAGCGAGCGAGCGAGCGGACACACAACTCTTTTCTGTTATGGCGAGCCGCAACCGCCGCCATTCTCTTTTCACTCGCTCGCAATTCTTTGGCGAAAAAAGTAAAGTGCGGAAACACACCGGCCTTTGTTTCGGACCGATCAAAAATTGATGCGAGCTCTACCAATTGATGCTCACTTTTTTCTGCCTCGGCTCAACTTTCAACTTTGGCGCAGTGTTGGAAAAAAAAGAGGAATGGAAACGCAGACTGCTGCAATGCGATACCACCGAATAGCTTGTCTAATAATAAGCCTCACGTGGATTTCCTTTGCCAGAGAGAAAGAGAAAGCAAACGTTTCTTTGTTCTTGTTGGCAAACAGCAAAGCTCCTTTAATTTTTTGTTAGCACGTCTGCTCGCTTGGGGAGGAAATTCACAGATTCAGAATATTTGCTCGTCTCCGGGGTTATTTTGTCAAACCAAAAACGGCTTTTTTTAACTTTTATATATTATCATGAATTGTTTTTCCATTTTTTTTTAATTAAATTAAATTTAAAATTGTGCTAGTTTTGATCATTTTCAATTCATTCAAACAAGCAAACAATTTGTTTATATTGATAATTAGCAGATTAAAACCCATTATTCAGATTTTGTTTCAACAATATTTCATTGATAATGCCTGATTGATATTCGATACTGTTTTGTATTGAATATCAAATATGAAAGGAAAATTGAACCGATTTATTTCCATCAATATTCTTGTTATCCTCAATTTATTTTTCCGTCCAATTGGCATTTTGATTGGAACAATGAAGCTGTATAAAATGAACCACTTTGAACTTGATTATCATCTCCAGAACTACATTCTTCTCCTGGTGGTATCTCAGTGAGTTGATCCCGTCGGCAATATTGCTGAGAATTTGATCGATACGATCTGAGAAGTAAAACTTGGCCTCGGAGAAACTCCTCTTTGCGATACAACCGCTTCCTCTGTACGTAGAAGAAAAAAAAACTATAGCATAGAAGCCTCGGGCGCGGAAGAGGTAAACGGCTGGATTGATTCCTGGCCCAGCACCGAATTTCAGAAATGCTGGCCTCGAGGGTTGCGGTAGGTGTTGCATTAAAAGACGTGCGCGCCATTTTTATACGCGTCGGCATAAATAATATCATCTCTTTTACGCGCGCCTCCGGTCGTAAAAAGCCATAAAACAAGCGCGAGCTTCATCATTTTTAGAGCCATTAGCAGACTCGCCGCAGGCTTTCATTTGCACTGGAATTTATTTATTTAATTTGGAGCCGCCAGAAATTGCACTTGCTCGAGTGTTGTTTGGCCCGACGCAGAGATTTGGGGGATAATTTGGGCGGAGGGAATTCGCCGCGGGATAAGTTTGCATACTTGAACAAAGTGCAGATTGAGAAATGCGGCAAAGTTTGATGGAAGTCGTGTAGTGCCTGCAGCTTAATTGATTGGGTGAGCCAAGAGTTCATTTGACGAGTTTTGTGGTCCGTGGACAATTAATTAGGCGAGAAAGCCAAGCCGCTCCTCCTCCTTCGCCGAGGCAAACTATAACTAAATATTCACAAGTCCGTTTTCGACAGACACTCTATATATTATAAATTTCAAAGTAAAAACATTCTGATTTCCTCCCCTACTAACAGTTAATTAATTGGACGTTTGTTTGCATTCGTTTCCAATTACTGCTGATACAAAAAACAAACAAACAAACAAGCAAAAACTGTCAACTCGGCTTTTGGGCACTTTTTAAACTGACTGTACAGAAAAACCTTTTGTGACACATTTTATTAGCGTGTTTATTTGATGTGTAATTAACCCTAGAATTGCGGCGAAAAACAGATTAATTACAAATTATTGGCTTTAAGTTGGCAATTTAGGGATCAAAAATTTATAATCCCATTGCTGAATATTATCTAAAAATTTAAAATCTTAAAATCGTTTTCTATGCTTTTTTTAATTTTTTACTTTCCACTTTTAATATCAAGAATATAATTGTCCTCGAGGTGATCCTACATCCTGAATTGCAAATTTGACCTTTGATAATACATTTTTTCAGTTAATTTCAAATAATTTAAAAAGATCTTTATCTCAACCCTATCTAAATTCATTTGTGATACAAAATTTTATATTTTTTCTGAAAACACCGTCATCAATCAATGCAAAAGTTTCTATTTACTCTCAGGTGAGTAAACATGTTGTTTTTGTCACCATTATTTTTTTGTTCCTCGACTAAAAGGAATGGGATTTTTGCATCAACGGCGGCTCCATTAGGGCTGATACATTTGTGCCCGGGGCGCGTGGGGATGCGAGTGCGTACTTTTCGATCAATTTCATACGAAAGTGACAAATGGTGCGCGGCTCTAATTTATCAGCAAAATATTGTTTGTTCAGACGTATCAATCAAGTGGCGGCAGCGCTGCTGTCAATGGCTCGAAAATGACGTTTGAAATGTTTTGCGGCCGCCGAGTGCGTGACAGCAGAAAAATCGCGGCGAATGCCAAATTGCCGGCCACTTCTCTTTCCACCAGCACTGCCCGCTCTCGCGCGGTTAATGCTTTAATCATTTGTTACTTACGGCGAAAGAGCACTCAAATTGTGTGGCATAAATGAACACCAGATGTGCGCCTTCCCATCCAAAACCGCCGACGATATGAAAATTTTTTTGTCGCTTAATGGCTTCAGATTTAATTGTTTCACAAATTCGAAACGTTACAATGAAATCTTTTCTACAATTAAAGGAGTGCTGACCCCTCGCTGTGACTTTAATTCCTGATTCAATTAAGGGTCCTGATTAAAACCTGAAAAGGGCGGCCGAAAATTCAGCGTTTTCGTTGAGAAATCTCAAAATGAAGTTGGGCTGATTGGACTTTTTTTGCGCTTGGTCGCCATCTTGGTCCAACAATCGAAAATGTGAAATTGTTGTTTGCAATTTGGATGGCCGTGACCTGAGCCACGTTAGGTCAAGAAAACACAATGAAAAATAATTGAAAATGAATTAAATTTTGTGAAATAAAAGCTAAAGAGTTGCTTGAAATGACCCCTTAATTGAAATTATTAAATTATTCAGCACACCTGAGATATAAAAGGGTTTGCTAAAAGTACTGCCATTTGAAAACTAATTTTTTTAAAAGCAAAAAGTTAATGGGAAATTTGTAGCAAATAAAACGCTCCTTCTTTTTGTAACAGTACAAAGTACTGCACAAATTTTTCTTACTTAAGAAAAAATGAAAAATAAAAATAAAATTACATTTTAGGTTGAAGGAAATTTTTTTAGATTTTTTCGAAATAGCCAATCGATTCAACATATCTTTTTTAGTCAAGGTCTAAATTTTCGCAAATAAATTCATGACGGTTAAAAAGTAATATCAAAATATGCAATGACAACTCTTTCATCTTAAAACAGGGCACGACCCGTTTGAAATTTTTTGATATTACTTTTTAACTGTCATGAATTTATTTGCGAAAATTTAGACCTTGACTAAAAAAGACATGCTGAATCGATTGGCTATTTCGAAAAAAATCTTAAAAAATTCCCTTTAACCTAAAATGTAATTTTATTTTTATTTTTCATTTTTTCTTAAGTAAGAAAAATATGTGCAGTACTTTGTACTGTTACAAAAAGAAGGAGCGTTTTATTTGCTACAAATTTCCTATTAACTTTTTGCTTCTAAAAAAATTAGTTTTCAAATGGCAGTACTTTTAGCAAACCCTTTTATATCTCAGGTGTGCTGAATAATTTAATAATTTCAATTAAGGGGTCATTTCAAGCAACTCTTTAGCTTTTATTTCACAAAATTTAATTCATTTTCAATTATTTTTCATTGTGTTTTCTTGACCTAACGTGGCTCAGGTCACGGCCATCCAAATTGCAAACAACAATTTCACATTTTCGATTGTTGGACCAAGATGGCGACCAAGCGCAAAAAAAGTCCAATCAGCCCAACTTCATTTTGAGATTTCTCAACGAAAACGCTGAATTTTCGGCCGCCCTTTTCAGGTTTTAATCAGGACCCTTAATTGAATCAGGAATTAAAGTCACAGCGAGGGGTCAGCACTCCTTTAAGCTGAAATGTCTAAAAAATATCAGTTTCTCTTGAATTTCAAACTTTTGGCCTTTTTGTTGTAAATTCTACATCCAAGCTTTTGAGATAGAACTGCAGATAAAAATAATTTTTTATTTATATTATACAAACTTGGTCAACAAAGATCACACAAGGTAATAAATTTTTAAAAGAAAACATTTTAACTTTGAAATTACCAGATAAGGTTTGATTATTTCAATTATTTTACAAAACGAAAAAACCGACTCCGGTGATTTTTATTGCTCTTGATGAAAGATTGCAAAATTTCAAGTATGCTTTTGTAATAAAAAAACGTTCAGAAAATTCCAAATCGTTTTGCTTTGCGATATTGTAAGAAAAAATAAACCAGCTTTAAAAAA